TGTCAGAAGCACTTTTCAACCTCAAACTTCGTTCCCAGGCTGAAGAGCTGGCACGGCATTTACTTGAAAAACAAACCCAAACAAATAGCAGCAAGTTTCTGACCTCAGGCTTGCCTCTTGCTGCTAATCTGATTCCTTTTAAGGGTAGGAGCTGGTGGTTAACGTGATTTCTAGTGAAACCCCGCATGCAGCTGAATATGAGAGTGTTGGGTTTTGCTGGGGCCGTTGTTAAAAATGTCATGGCCTACCCACCCATATCCAATTTCTAGGAAAATCTTTCAGTGTGTCTTTTGCATTCTTTGTACTGTCATATAGCTGACCATCATTGAGATGCCTTCTTAAGATTAGGTTCATGTCCGACATGATCATGAAATTTAACTCTCTGGTGAGATTTTGATCTCTAGCTTGGCCCCATCTGTTTTACCCCTTCCTATCTAAAATAACTTTGTGATAAAGAGGAGCTTTTGCGTATGAATACTGAGTCACAAACCCCAGCTCTGAGTAATCCCAGAGCTACTCCCTGCTGTGATCCAGCTCCAAGGGATGGAGATGTCCTCTCAGAAAATAACAGTGCTCTGCAGGGGACTTGGTTTTGCAGTCCCGCAGGCCTGTGTCCAGAAATAATTCCAAAAGAACATGTAAATATTGCAGTTTTTCTGAGTTTTGCTTCCTGACTTGCTCTGGGGAAATAATTTTTTTCCAGCAAATATGGAATAATTGCTTTTATTTATCCAGAGACTGCTGGATTTGTGTTAGTAGGTTGGCTGTGAAGCCTGGAGTGGCAAACTGCATTAGAGGATGGGGAATGTGTTTAATGCTGGTGCCACAATATGTTCATGGAATCACAGAAAATGCTGAGTTGGAATGGACTCACAAGGATCAATGAGTCCCACTCCTGACCCTGCACAGGAGACGCCAAGAGTGCCTGAGAGTGTTGTCCAAATGCTTCTTGAACTCAGACAGGCTTGGTGTTGTGACCATTGCCCCAGAGAGTGTGTTTCAGTGCCCAACCACCCTCTGTGTGAAGAACTTTTTCCTGATGTCCAACTTAAACCTCCCCCAACTCAGCTTCGTGCCCTTTCCTCAAGTCCTGTCACTGGTCATGAGAGTGAAGAGATCAGTTCCTGCCCCTCCTCTTCCCCTCACAAGGAATTTGTAACTGCAGTGAGGTCTCCCCTCAGTCTCCTCTTCTCCAGCTGAACACACCAAGTGCCTTCAGCCGCTCCTCACACAGCTTCCCCTCCAGACCCTTCCCCATCTTCGTGGCTTTCCTTTGGATGCTTTGTGCTTGGGAAGTGTAGGGCCTGGCAAGGAAGTGATGAAACTCTCTATGCAGGAGCACAGAAGGGTGAAAGGCATTCACATGGAGAGGCTGCTGAACCTTCCCATGGGAACTTCCTGAGCAGCCGAGAAGGCAGGGTCCTCTGTGCTCCCTGTCCATCCCTGTCCTTCCGTGGGATTCCTGCAGGGACATCGAGCATTCCCAGCCATGTCTCGGGCAATGCCTAGGGACTAGTGGAAGGGACCTAAAAGTGCATTTGAAGTAACCACCATTCCACCAGTCGTGGTTCTCTTGGATATTTGCTATTGCCAATCTAAATGCATAACTGTCTTTAAAATGTCTTTTGGTGAGAATTTATTGCGTGTGGTCTCCAGCGGAGGTGTTTGGTTCAGTTTGTGACTGGCAGGATTGGTTACACAATACTGTTTGTGCTTCCTGATGGCTGGAGGAGCACAGAGCTGCCTCTGGGGTGGATATTGGCCCATGTGAATCTAAAATTTAGTGTCCTTGACTGACATTTACTTTCTGAGAACTCTGTTGCCCGTCAAACTCAATTGCTCAAACGTCTGTGGGAAACCAGTGGTGGTATGTGAATGTGGTCTCAGTAAATTCATTTTTCAAAATGTGAACCAATGTTCACTGGAGGAAAAATGAAGCATTTCTGCATTATTTGGCTGGAGTGAGTGTTACAAGCTCATTTGATCCTCTTTCTTTTTCTGTCATCATATTTTCATGACAATGTTATATATGTATGGTATTGCAATTCCCGTGCTCCCCAGAAAGATCTTTAATCATCTAGACCATATAAGCAATGAACACTTCAGGCAAAAGCAAAGCTATTAATTTTGCACTTCAAAGTCACAGTTTTCCCCCCTGCAAAGTGTATCTTATAAAGCTGCCACTCTCCATCCTCATTCTCAGTCCATCCACACTTCTGCTGCAGCTGGCAACCCAAATCACTGAAACGTTGCACTTTGTTCACAAATATGTGCAAAAGCTGGCATCAGCCCTGTGCAGGATCCCCTTCTGTAGTAACCCCTGCTGGGATGAGGTGTTGGAATCCCCTGGGGGCAGTTAGAGCCTGTGCATCTCTCTGGTCAGGCTGCGTGGTTGCTGAGAGCCTCCCAAGGGAGCAGAGACAGAGGGAGCTCCCCTGGGAACAGCGGTTCCCCTCGTGCCTGTGTTAGTCTCGGGCTTCCCGGGAGGCAGCAGTGTTGTCTGTGCTATGCTGACTTTTTGAGTTGTGAATTTTTGCATTCTTTGGCCATTTGCAGTCCAGTCAAGCGTGTTCTCATTCCTGTGAACACACAGTGCTTTTATTCTTTGGGTTTTGGGTCTTCCTAATTCCTTGGCCTCAGCGATATTTCATGGAGGAGTGTTTGAGGGGAGATTGTGTAGTCTATCATCTTTTTACCTATTCTCTTTAAACTGTCTGAAGTGTTACCACCCTTGAGTTTGAGTTTTGCCTTGCTCACATATTCTGAACTAGGATATAACTTGCTTGACCCATATGTTCTATATCAGCCATTATTTTAAGTATCTCTCTCAATTTCTCCCTCATTTGTCTCTTGGCCTGCTCAGCTGTCCCACTGCGCTGTTCATGGAGAGGAACTCAGAGGCATGGCCTTGTCTCAATTCATTACTTTATTAGTTTTGGCATTCTATGTATTTTTAAATATAGATTTTCCTTTTATAGCATTAAGTATTTCTGTTTTGAGGGCTTGTTGAAATGCATGTTTCCCTATCCTGCTATCTTAGACTCAGCAGCTGATCAGCACAAGCTGTAGATCAGAACTGACTTCTGACTCCTTCAAACACCAGTTAGAGAAGGAAGTGATTTGAGGTGTGCTGACCAAGGAGATGACTGGGGATGGTGTTTCTGTCAAATGTTGGTTCCAGCTGCTGCTGGAGAATTCAGAATTCTGACAGTTTGAGCAGACCACAGCAGGTAAGACTCTGGAGAAAAGAGGGACAAGAGCAGAATGAAAAGCTCTCACGCTTTCTCTTGTCTCCCTCTCAGAGCATTGTCTTTGTAATGCTGCTATTTAAAGATTGAGTGCCTATCCAAGGACTGAACTTAATATATAATGTTGGTTCAGGTCACAACTATAAGGTTGTCCACCCATCCATCTGATACAAAGCAATACATACTAAATCTGTTTGAAAGGACAGGCCAGCCTGAGGTAAATGTGCTCCTGTTTTGGTGTGATAGCCTGGCCAGCCTTGACAGCAGATTCCAAGAATCACAAGTTTGTGGTCTGTCAGCCAGTGCAAACGTCAATCCATCAAATATTCCCCACTTGTTATACCTAGAGGACAGAACCATGAGAAGAAGTGGCATTAAGAAATGAGTGGCAGAGGGAAATCACCTTCTTGGATACATGGCATCTCTAGTATGGGAGACAGAGAGCTGCGATGGTTGTACTCCCGTGGTCACAAAGATCACCAAAATGCCACCTGTGAATGTGCTTGGGTTGTAGAGGTCTGACATGGCACAGAGGCCATCCTTATCCTCTTTTTCCCTCTTGCTCCCCAGCACAGACTGTAGCTCAGAGTTTTTAAAGTTTGGGCTATTGCTTGTTTTAAACAAAGAACAGTTTATTAAACAAGACCTGGGTTCATGCTTGAGTGGCTCTACTAAACAGCAATAACACTCAATAGCCAAGTTTTCCAAGGGGAGTGCTCCTGACTTCCTCATTGCAAATCTCTCCCGGCAAGGTGGCACCCTGTGGGATAGGCATGCTCAGGGCTGTGCAAATGCCAGTTAAACACCCAAGGCCTGCAGCCTAATCCTGCCTTCTTGTGGTGTTGTATGGCTGTGGGAGCTCAGGTGGTATCCTCACTTCTGGGCTGAAAATCCCCAGACCAGTCTCAAAGGGTCCCTGTAGTTTCTAACACAGTTAAAGATCCTTGTCCCAGTGTCCTCACTGAATTCTGAATTCATTCTTTATGCCCCCTCTCAGGCTCCTTCCTGGGACCCAGTACTTTGCTGGTCTCCAGCTTCCCAGCCTGCAGAGTCCCAAGGGGTGGGAGGTCGTGGGGAGAAAGGGAGGAAAGGCACTTCCTTTGGGTGGACAAGGGGATGCAAGGTCAGAAGGAAAGAGCCTGTGAAAGTTGCAAAGTGGGAGCAAAGGATGAAGTTCAGAGAAGAGGCATAGCTGGGGGAAGAAAGGGATTTTCTGTGGGCTGGGCAACTCTGTCTTAAGAGATTTGAGTACCCACAGGAATGCTGCAGAGATGGTTAGCAGTGGATTTTCAATGTCTCTCATGACCTTGTCTCTTAAAAAGACATCAGGGCCCTGTTACAGCATGGAAAAGCATTCAGATGCTTGGGGCACAGGTTTTGCTGCCCTCTCCCTGCTGAGTTGGCCTCCCATCACAGGTGGCCTCTCTGGGTGCAGAGGTGTGCCAGGAGATGCAAGGGTCGAGCGTTTCCATTGCTAGAGGATGAAATCTCTGCCCTCTGACCAGCTCTTCCCAGTCTTCCTTGGTGATGCAAAGGCAGGCAGGGGAGCTGGAGGGGGTTTCTGTTAGCCAGTCAATCAATCATTTCCCAATGTTTGTTATTTATCCTCCTGGCCAAACCCTCCCCTCATTCCTGCCACTCTGGGCGATGGGAATTTTTGTGATCTCTGAGCAGCAGAGGCTGGCGGGCAGCCTGATCGATGCTAGAGCTCGTTCTCAGCCACGTGAGAGGAGAAACATCAACAAGGAGGGATGGAGTTAGAACTTTATTAGGAGAAACCTAGACACGATTGACTAAAAACACATGTTAAGGAGAACACACGGGCCTTTTCGGGATTAAAAAATACAAATATATAAAAATTTACAAACGGGAAAAAAAATGGTTTTCCCCCCCTCTGAGTGTGTGAGCACGTATGTATGTGTACAGGAAACTGTACCAAAGCTAACTATGTATCAGGAGCAAGGACTCACAATGCCTTTCAATGGCTCTAAGAGAGGGAATGGCTCGGTCCCTTCCTAAGCTGGTCCCTGGCCACTGGCTCGTGCAGTCCAGTGTTGGGAACCCTGCTGTGGCCTGTGCCTGAAAGGGCAGCGTGGGGTAAACAGTAGGGAGCAGCTTAGCTCTGTTTAGCAGGTAACTTTACCAGAGGGATGTCAGCTCTGGTAAAACGTATCTCGAATGGGAGCTGCCTACAGACTTCCCACACCAGACTCACTGTGCAGTGCTGGGCCCCAGCGACTGCTCTGAGAGGCTACAGTGGTGGAAAGACCCAGCCCATGGGTGATTTCTTATGCCACGTGTGCTAGGGATGGAGTGGAGATGATGACCTGACAGCAGAGCAGGGACTTGTTGTGAGGACAAATGACTTGTGCTGACTGGCTTGAGAGAGCAGCCAAGACGACGATGTGTGTGATGTGCAGGACCTGGAGAAGCCTCTTGCTCCTTGCAAAAGATGCTGAAGTGTTTTGGTAGGTTGGTGAGAAGACACAGGCCGTACCAGATAAACAGAGGATGCTTTTCTCTCAAGTGGGCAGCTGGCAGCACCCTTTCAGCAGCATTCAGGTTTCTTGAAAGATGAGTTTAAAAAGGGGGAACCCACTTTGTTTCCACATGATAATTCCTCTTTTTTACTAGGAAGATATCTGTTCTCACAGGAGAGTCTGTCCTTCTGATAATGGATGTCTTGCTTAGAATTGATGACATAAGTATCTTGGGAAAATTCCCTGGTCTTCATCAACTGATCATCTAAGTGATTTCCCTGGGGCCAGTCTGCTGCCCTGACTTGGGAATGAGGAAGGGATTCCAATGTTAGGCATGAGGCAGCTGTGCCGGGGGGACCACAGATGTCTTTATTAATGGTGAAGAGTTGTTATATACACAGTGTCCAAAAATTCAAGTAGGATTTATTGTGTAAGGTAAACTGGTATAAAATATCTGGGCTCAGGTAGAGAAAGGGAAGGTTAGAAAGAGCCAGAACAAAGCAGATGAGATAGTCTTTCTTTCAGAAAGCCGACTGGTGTGTGTTTCTGCTCCCTGCAGGTGAGAGAAGCTTCAGGTCAGCGTAGTTGCCAAGCTGATGTTGCGAATGTTGAATAGAGAGCAAAGAAGATGTAAGGGGGCTGAGGTCCAGTCAGTTTGTTGAATACAGTGTCTCAGTGGGTACCCACTGGGCAGCTCAGGAGGCTGCTGGCCTGTGCTCTACCAGGCTAAGGATGGGAACCTCTAATCCCTGTGGGTCCCATGACGAAAACATGTCTGAGGGCTTCCCATCCCGAGATTGGTGCCTCTCTTCAGTGCCTGTATCCCAGTGGCTGTCCCTGCCTTAAGCTGTGAGAGGTGCTGTCTGCAGTGTAACCATGATGTTCGCTGGAAAGGAGCGAGAGGGTGTTAACACAGAGAGGTTAGCGGCAAGAGTTTGGAGTCCACTTTGCAGGAGTTCTGCTGAGGGCTGAGACTGCCCCTTCTCCTCACCCCTGCTGGAGACAGGTCACACAGACAAATCATCCGACCTTGCCTTGCTGCTGGCACGGCTGGCCTTGCTGAACCGGCGCTTCTCGTTGAAGTAGTTCTCAGGGAAGGCGGGTGCTGCGCTTTCACTGGCCACCTCCGGGCTCTCCCCATAGCTGGACTTCATGAAAGGCCCTTCACCAGCAGCATCCTCCTGGCCGTGGACCCTCTCGGTGGCGAAGTTGGCGGTGTTCTGCTGGGAGGCCACCTTGTTGCTGAAGGGGCTGATGAACTTCCCGTTGGCACTCGACAAGCACTGGTTAAAATCCGGCGGGGGAGTGTACATCTGGGCCCTTTCTGCCTGTGGGGCAGACTCCAGTCTGGCGGGGGCCATGCTGGGGCTGGGTTTGGAGGAGCGGGAGCACCTCTCCTTGGCTTTCTTCCAGCCCAAGTGGTAGAGCTCGGCCAGGCTGAGGAACAGGGAGAGCACGGCCACAGCCAGCATGAAGACAATGAACACGTTCTTCTCCGTGGGACGGGACACGTAGCAGTTGACGGGGTGGGGGCAAGGCGCCCGCTGGCAGATGTACAGGGTCTCCAGGAAGATCCCGTACAGGACGTACTGTCCCACAATGAAGGCCACTTCCATGGCAGTCCGGATCAAAATGCTGTAGACGTAGGTGTTCAGCAGGCTGCCCCTGAGGATGATTTTGCCTCCTGATTCATCCCAGCAAGACAGCTCAGCCTTCTCCGGCGCAGAGCACTTCTGCTGGTAGTACGTGTCACCACTGTTCTTCATCTCTCGGGCCTCTATTTCTGCCTCCTTCATCTTCCTCTTCTCCTCCATGCGCACCGTGTGCATCGCGTGGCCCATGTACACCAGGCTTGGGGTGGAGACAAAGATGATCTGGAGGACCCAAAAGCGGACGTGGGAGATGGGGAAAGCCTTGTCGTAGCAGACGTTCTCGCAGCCGGGCTGCTGGGTGTCACACATGAAGTCAGACTGCTCATCCCCCCAGGAGGACTCGGCTGCCGTGCCCAGCACCAGCATCCGGAAGATGAAGAGCACGGTCAACCAGACCTTCCCCACCACTGTGGAGTGTTTGTGGACCTCCTCGAGGAACTCTCCCAGGAAACTCCAGTCCCCCATTTCTGCTCACCAGGAGGGGTGAGAAGTCTTGAGGATTGGACACAGCCTCTGTGGGAGCAAACAGAAGAGAGTGGTTCTAAGAAGGGTTAGGGAATGCCCAGCTGATAATGCGTGGAGTGAAATGGTTTGTTTCGTGTCACAAGAAATGTTTTCCTTTGACCTGAAATGAATGAAAACTCTGTTTCATACCCACTGAAAACAACATGTTGGGTTGGTTTGTTTGTTTTTTAATTCAGCTACTGAGACAAAAAGTGATCTTTTTTTTGCATAGCACAACTGCAACCTAACAAATGGGCTGCCGAAACCTTGAGGGTGAGCCAGATGTATTCTTGGTTCAGAAAGTCCTTTTACTGCGGTCTGCATGTTGCATCCTCTGTGGACTGCGTAGTTAAAGCAGCATTCATTTGTCTGCAAACTGTGCTCTGGGGAATCCTTAGTGGGCTGATCCCCTGGGAGTTAGGACTGGAGTCTGCAGCTTGGGCTGAGCAGTGCCTTGGCACTTTCATTTGTTGCCTTTGTGTAACGCCTGCACCAACAGCTGGAACGTGAAGTGCTCACAGCTCTGGGCTTCATCTATGAGCTCGATGCCACCACTGAGAGAAATGCAGAGAAAACCTTTCTGTTGCCCACCTGCCCCTGTCCATAGGTTTTGCTTTGGTTTTGCAGTGTCTCCAGCTGCAAGTGTTTAATTTGCAATTTGCAAATGTTTTGGGGAGCGTAAAGACTTCGGTGAGCTGTGTCAGTCCTGCAAACCTAATCCTCTGCCACCCTGTCGCGCCTCTCTGAGAGGGAACTGCCGTGAAATCTAAATGGTTGGTCTCGCTCCTTCCTCTCTTCTGAAGTCCTGAGCCAAAATTCACAGTTCAATTGGCACAGACAAAGGAAAAAAAACCTCCTTTGAAGTGCCTCCCAAAGATCAGCAACTCCTGGGAAGTGCTGTTGGAAGGCGGTCTGATGAGAGGAAAGGTTTGGTGGATTGGCAGTGAGATGGCAAAGTGAAGATGCAGGAGAACCTGCTTCAGGTTTGTTTCTGACTCTGACAGACTGTTTCTGGACAAGTTACTTAACCTCAAGCATAGAAAGGTAGCAATGGGTTTAATCCATCTTTTGTGGGGCTCTGTGGGAGTGCTTGAGCAATCATTTGATCCAGTTATACTCCCAATACTTGCCTTCCCAGGGCACTGCAAAGCTCTCCCTTGTGCGTGAGTTAAGGGCTAGGTGCTATAAAGTGTTCAGTATTACCTTGGAGATAATGCTCTCTCACAGTGACTCTTTTGGAAAATAGCATTTTAATAAGTAGATGTAAAAATAATCATCATAATGAAATATTAAAAGCTCTAGTCAAGGTAAAACCCGAAGCCATAGGGACCAAATTGTTAACTCCCCTTCTTTATTGTCCCTTGTCCTGCCTTTAAGAGCCAATTATTTTTATGGTGCAAAGAACGTCTGTGGAGAGTAGACACTGTTAAAAGCTGAAAATTTACTGCAGCAATATTGTGTAGATTTCCCTGTGAGCAAAAGCTGAAGAACAGGGAGATAGACTTGTTGGGGAAGCGACATCCCCTCCTCTGGTTATGTGAGTGATGTCATTTACTGTAGCAGCACACACGGTGATTTATGCCACTGCTTGTTCATGTGCTGTGTGTCCATCTGCAAGGATGGATGGGGGCAAAGATCAAAAGTTGAATCCTTAAATTCCTGGTGCTTCTGAGGGCTGCCCTGTGGAAAGGTGAGGATTGCCCAGGTAAGGAGACAGGGAGGTGGCCACTTGCTGCCCCGCCACCTGTCAGAGGCTGTGTGAGGAGGGAGAAGGGACACACCAGAAAGCAAAGGATGGGCTTTGGCTCTGTCCTGCTCTGGCAGGCGTGCTGCAATCATGCTGATGCAGATCCTGGTGTCTCCTTGGCGTGTGAAGAATGTTTCATCTGCTGCCAGCCCAGAGCTGGAGGAGCAGTAACACAGAAAATCAGCTGGTCTTTCTGGCTCCTCTTGTCTGCACTGGTGAAAACTGGTGAGTGAGTGGGTCTGTCTTACCTTCTGAAATAGCTTTAGTGCAGTTACTGCATTCTGGAGAAATTAGCATATGGCTCCATTCCAGGAGCACCAGGGGATTCACTACAGGCAGATAAATCAGTGATGGGAAATATTTACAGCCCGTGGTGCTGAAATCAGTGTGTTTGGTTTTTTCTGCCCCCAGAGTGCAGACAAGGCAACCAGCTACCTACAGTTCAATATATAGGTGTGTCCAATCAATGTCTTTATGCTGTAGCACAACCGTATGCGTGGAATATTCCTTACAAGACAGCATGGACAGTGGTGGGTGTCCTCATTTATCCAGGTGAATTTATGTTGTTTTCAGGTGCCCCTATTGCTCCTGCTGTTGTTAGCTGACAGCTGCCTTTTCTTGTTTCACCTTGCTGTTCAGCACAAAAATGAACAAAAAATGGCTTTGCAAAGGCTGAGTTTTCCTTCCTGCCATAGGGATGTACAGTCACAAACTAAACTCCATCTTCCCATCAGTTCTACAGTGTGCAGGTTGTTTGGGGTTTTACTATGGCTTGTGTTCCTCAGGGAAGGCCACTAAACCTAGGCACTTGCAAATTGTAAAAATCAGTATGTGCAGAACACAAAGTAAAGCAAAAGTAAGCGCAGGAGGAGTCCAGAAATAAAAAATGTTAATGAATGCGAGAAGAACAGTAATTCACCTGTCTCACACACGCACAGAAATTTTTAAGAGGCTGTAAATCAGAAGGATCCAAGGCTGACAGTCATGAGGCTTAGGCTAGACAATAGGGACATTTCCTCTGTCTTCCCCTCCACAGACTGTCTAAAGGAGGGACTGCCCAGAGATGCCTCCTGATCATCCTGCTACAGCCCCACAGAGAGCTGAGGTGGCTGCTGTGAGGGGGTAGGTGGCCACAGGAGGATGGGTTTTGGAAACCAGGAGAAGGACATTCCTTCCTAGAGCAGTGTTTTTGGCTTAGATATTTGATAGTTATTGCCGAGCTATTCTTGGAGTGCCAGACCAAGGGTTTTCTAGAACATCTATCTCTCTGCTGCCAGCAAGAAAAGAAGGGATTGTTGTCACCCTCCTGACAGCTTTTCCTGGCTGTGCAGAGCTGCTCCTGACCCAGCCTTTCTCCACAGGGCTTTACTATTCTTGGGAATTTTCCATATAGTTCTCTTTCCTCATTCCCAGACTACTGTTGCCCTCGAATGCTTTGACCTCTCAGTGTCTGAGCATCTGCAGCCTTTTATATTCCTAGTTTGGGCTCGGTTGGGCAAATCTGGTTGCACCTTGGTGTGACTCGGCAAAAAATACCTCTGGGTATCTTTGTGGGGTCTCAGCACCTGATAGAAGACAGTCTTGACAGCAGGGTCATGCATATTCATGTACAGTTGTGGGCTGTGCCACTGCCCTGCCATGCTTCTGGCTGACAGCTTCCTGCTGGATCAACACCGGAGCTGTGCTCAGTCATGGGATCTTGGCACCGGGAAGCGCGTGTGTGACAAAGACCAGTGCAGCTTGGCACAAACCCAACTTAATCATCACCTGGAATGCTACTAAAGCTGGGGAAAACTGAGTATCACACCACAGGCCAAGCCTGGAGTCTGCTCAGCTCCGGCCTGCCTTGTGACTGCCAAATTCCACGATAAAAATACCCCAGTGGGGACAGCACCTGCTGGTCCGCCAGGCTGGCTCACACTGCTCACAGCCACTGGCTGCTCTCTGCCATTCCTTTTTTTGCACCAGGTTTATCTATGGGAAGAGAAGTGTCCACTGCCCTCTGAGCAGTTTTTCCCATCCTCTTGGTGATGCCACATGCTCTGAAGGACGGGCAAGCACTTCCCATCGCTGCTGCTTGCCCCAGCCAGCACACTTACTCTGGTTGGAACTAGCCAGGGCTTGATGAACAGCTAGGAAATTCACACCAGAGGGCCAGGAGGGCTGTCCCTGTGCAATCATTTTTATATGAGTTTATTTCCCCAGGGGTTGTGAGGGAGAAAGTTTCCCCCTCTTTAGAAGACAGGCGAGACTATCAGCGGTGATATAAATAGCTGAGCTCGACACTTCACGCTAGCTTTTCCCACAAGGAAGGTGACAGGAGGTCGCCATCTCTGCAGGATGTTTCTAAAATAAAGTGGAGAGTCTGATTATGACACTGTTTCTGCTCTCCCTCGCTGGGCTCACCTCTTCCCCTTGGCAGGTCCCAGGGGCACGTGGAGAGGCTCTCCGAGGAAGGCTCCTTTGTGTGAGGCAAGCACAGTTCCCAGGGAGGGGGAAAGTATCGAATTCAAAGCCACTGTATTTCTGCCCAGTCTCTGTGCGTGATTTGCTCAACAGGATACAAATGCATGTCTCTGATAGTTACAGAGATTTCCCAACACACTGGAGGGCTGGGGCCCTGGATGTTTTAAGAGGCTCACACTCGAGACACGCAGCTGTGTGTGGAGACCCTGCAGCAAGTGCATCCCCTCCAAGCTGCCAAATGGAGAGGCAGCCGTCCCCTTTGGGTGCTGGGCACGTGAGCAGTGACAGCCCTTTGCAGTGGAGCATCCAGGCCAGCTGTGGCATGGTCAGTGCCGAGGAATTGCTTGTGGCTTTCCCTCCTCCAGCTGTGTTATCTCATAGCAGGTCCAGGCCAGCACATGGCACAATGGATGTCCACCCTGGGGGTATGTGGGCAGAGATCTTTTCCCCTGTGTGACAGGCTTCACCTGTCAGGCTGGAGCCATACATGAACAGGGCCCACACTACAAAACTGCCCTCTCACACCTGTAGGTGCTTAGGAAGGACACTTTCAGCTCTGAACTGGAGGTTGGTTAATGGTGCTTCACTTAAGGGTCTCCAGCCCCCTGTCAGCAGCAGTCCAGCCTCACAGCATCCCATGCAGTGCAGAGGCTGTCCTCTCTGTCTTGCAGATGGTGGTCACTGCAACAGAAAGGACAAACTGCTTTTTCGAGGTCACTGTGTTAGAGACAGTCTGGGGACAGAGCTCAGGAGTTGTCACTTGCAAACTTGTGCCCTTTTTTCTATGCAGCACTGC